CAAATGAGTAAATAAATCTTTAAAAAATAAAAAGTAAATTTTAAAAAAATGAGGACCTCTTTTTAATGAAAACATAGATCACATCCCCTTTGGTGGTAATTTGTTAGTATTAATATAATGAGGGAAAGATACTATAAAATAAGGAATGCTTTTACGTAAATGCACATTATTAATCAAGACATACACAAACAGCTTATTCATACACATATGTGTGAAACAGTTGAAAACATCTACATGCAAAATCTTCTGAGTTCCCCAAAAGGACTCTGTGTTCCCAAGGTGGAGAACGGATTTAGACTCACTTCATGGGGAAAACCTCACATTGCTTGGCAGGGCTGGCTAGTGAGACTACTCTCTTGCGCTCCATGTCCCTCAGAGACCACTGCCACACACTTGGGAGCGCGGAGCAGCCTGTGCCTGTGGGGATTCCAGGATCTTCCTCCCCTCGGAGTTCTAACAGGCCTAGGATGACGAGAGGAAAGGGAGTCATTATCATTTAAGCGGCCACCCTGTGACAAGGAAGCCAGAAAGGGCCTCCAAAGAAAACTCCACACGTGCATCTCTTTATAAACCCTCTTCTCTCGCTTGATTATTAACCACCCAGAAGAGAGGACCGTTAGAACCCCACTGCCTTCCATCAATCAGCCAGGTCACCATGCACAGTGCCACCATTCCCCGATTGCCCTTTATTTCCCAGTGGGTCTAACCCTACAGATGAACAAATGCTTGGACTATGTGCAGTGGACTCAGAAGTCCAGCTTCACCTGAAATCTTCTCACCAGATGCTTACTAATGACCTCCTCGCAGGAGTACGTGGGATCGAATGTGTGAGAAGCTTTTAAGAAGAGTGAAGCAGATACAAATGAAAGCAGTGTCATTACTCTCAGCAAAGCCCAGTTTGTCAGATACAGAATACGTGCTTCCAGTGCAGGGGTCCTGAGAGGGCAGACCCAGCAGCCCCTGGGGACCCACAAGCAAGCTGGGGCCGGGAGAAGCGGGAAGGCCTGTGGACAGCATCTGACTCAGCAGGTCACAGACTTCGTGTTCTCAGGACCCCCTTACACTTTTAACAATTGTTGAGGACCTCCAGAGGCTTTTATGTGGGTTCTACCGATATTTACCCTCTTAGATGTTAAACTGAGAAAAGTTTAAAAGATTCATTTAAACGTAAGAATTAACCACATGATGACATTATCTATTTTATGAAAAATAATGATTCCCCAAAACAAAAACGTGCTTAGTGAGAAGAGTGGTATTGTTTTATCATTTTTGCCAATCTTTTAAATATCTTGCTTAGTAGAGACAGATTCTCATATGTGCCTCCGCATTCAACCTATTGGGATTTCATACATCGTGTAATCACTGGAAAATTCCATTGTACGCTTGTGAGAAAATGAGAGTAAGGTAAAATAACATCTGGGGATTATTGTAGAAATGATTTTGACCTCACTGACCCCCGGAGTTCCCCAGACTGCACTTGGAGAACTATTGATCTAACTTAATAAGAGCTTTCACATAAATTGATCCAACTGCACCTTACACTACAAGGTTTTAAAATGAATTCTATTCTCCCTATTACACAGTTGGGGAAACTGAGGTTGAAAAGATAAGAAATTCGCCTCAGGCTAAATGATTAGGATTTAAGCCCAGATGCTCTGGTAACAAATCAACTCAGTCCCAGCAACCTCTCATATTTCTATCACCAATGCGAAAAGTTAAACCACTTTGTTTTTTTTCTTATTTTCTCTCAAATTATTTATTTTCTTTATTTTTTTAAGATTTTATTCATTTGTCAGAGAGAAAGAGCACAAGAAAGGGGAGCGGCAGGCAGAGGGAGAAACAGACTCCCCACCGAGCAGAGAGCCCGATGCAGGGCTCCATCCCAGGATCCCGGGATCATGACCTGAGCCGAAGGCAGACATTTAACTGACTGAGCCACCAGGCGTCCCTTAAACTAACACTTTGTTTCTGAGTAGGGCCAGATGCTTCTTCTTCAACCTTTATTATATAAATCACATTTGCAAAAGGATTAAGTCTTTAAATTATCCCTGAAGGTGGAGAAAAGCAGATGCATTAATAAGTTAGCAATGGTTTCACTGTTACTCTTTCTGTCCCACAACACAGTCCTAAAATAAAATTTGCTTTCCTTTTTCTTTCTGATTTCACTATGCTGAACAATGATTTTTTTCACAAAAGAATAATGAAAGACTCAGAAGGTTGTTCACCTGGTGATCTAAAGCACCACAGAGGGTGATTTAGCTTTTACGACTAAGAGAGATTAATCCATTTTCGTTTTATTTTTAAGTTGCTAACTCTGAAATTTGTTGCATTTTTAAATGTCTGTTTTTCTACCCTCTTAGAGAAGCGGTCAGCAATTTTCTCACTGCCCTCAGTTTGCAAAGAAAGAGCAGGAATCAGCAGCAAGTCCCTCATCCTGCGATCTCCGGGAACATCTGGGCCGCCCTCAGAATCGCACTCTCTCTGATGGACCAACCGGAACTCTTCCAGGCGGCTAATCTCGGTGACCTGGATGTCCTCCTACGAGCTTTCAACTTGGATCCTTGAAGGAAAAGAAAACAATTAAAAATAATAAATCCTGTCTGTGTAATTGTACTGAGAAACACAAAACTATTTTATTATGAATTCCGAAAAGAAAAGGACAAACCAGATGTCCAAAAGGCCATGGTGAGGTAACACAGGGAATTCCTACAGACAATGCCCAGGCTCTGTTCAGATTCCAAAAGCACAAAATGTTGTATAGAGAGTCAAGGTTGGGCTCGAAAGAAGAACTGAGAGACGCAAGGACAAACCAAGATGAAATAACTGTGTGTGAATACTCTTCACGAGCTGCACGCATATTCAAAACATGTCCTTTGGGGGTTTTTGTCCCCACTGGCAGCTGATACACATATAAGGACCTTGCTCATGGGACATGTGGAGAAAGAAAGCACTGCCTCTGATCAGGGAATTCTGACTGTTTCTGAACTATCCCCTGCAACTCCCCCTTTTACAACATAGTTTGGGCCAAGGTGCATGCACGTATATTAACTCTTGACTAAAGAGAGGCATTGCTTAAACCTATTCCAATTTTAACTTCTACCGTAGCCCTTCGATTCCAGAGAGGGAGCTTTGCTGGCAAAAGCAGTTTTTGCACTAGAAATTTTTGCTGTTCCCAATCAAAACTTTTCTGGGACTGTATATATGCACTTTAATATCTTATTTATGCCTTGCTGGAGTTTTGTTTCGTTGCTCCAATTTTTAACTTAGGGGTAAAAGACTTGAGAACTCGGCCTTGCTAGATCCCTGGACCAAATAAAAATTCCTGAAAATAGTTTTTCATAGTGTAGAGTTTTGAAGGAGTTTTTCTCAAAGCAGGTATGACATAGGGTGTAAATATGTCAAACACAGATCTTACTCACATGCTTTCTGGGACTGTATGAACTTAAGCAAGAGAAAACGTACCGTCCTGTCATGCATTCTCTGCAGGGAGGAATTTTGATGATAATGTGATTTCTATAGAGTTAACATTAACTTGCTTAAATGTCATATTTTACTTGCTTTCTAACTGCCCTGCACACCAATATATTCCTTTTAAACCATTAACATTTTAAATAGTATTTCATAAGAGTGATACATTTTTTTCCTAAAAATTAAGTGTTTTCTTAGTTCCATAATAATCTGCACTGCTCACCCTTTTGCATTCTAAGTGATAAAAGATCAATATTTTCTCTCACTGAATGTCGGAGGTTTAATATGAAAGATGCATGCCCCTTTGGCTCTCATTTTGAATATTTATCAAGGATCAGGAATTTTCTCTTGGTGGTGGTGTTTTTATTTAATTGATTACATTCTGCTCACTTCACAGTGTGTTGTGCCTGTTGGGGCTTGGTGATTATTTGGAATGATATCATTTTTTAAAGATTTTGAAAAAGTGTTTGCAAAATGCTAACCAAAATATAGTATCACCAGTGTCCAATTCTAACAATTGGTCCTAGTAAGTGGTCCCACTCCTCTTTGTCTTTTCTCCTTCCTTCCTCCAGAAAGCAATCTGATCCCAAATTTTTCTTCACGGTCTTTGGTTAGTAGTAGCTGATTACGCTCATGGTGATAGTTACCAAGCAAACAGCATTTGAGTCAAGACGGTTTAATTGACTGGGGAGTTAGCTTCGCCTGGGGGCGGAAATGTGCAGGTAGAAATCTTCTCCTCTGTTACCTCGGAAGTCCCTCGGGTAGGAAGGCGCCTTGAGGAAACACAAAACCACAGGTCTTTGAAGTTTATTTAGTACGTTATAACAACAGAGAGTTTTTATAAAGCTTACAAGGACAAAGAGTTTATAAAGTTTATAAGGACAAAGAGTTGAGGGTCCAATGGTGTACCAAGCTTTCGTCTTCATTGTCAGCACTCACTTGGCAAAGTGATGCCCCCGGCTGGACAGCAGGAGGCAGAGACACATTAAGGCATCCACCATGGGGCAATAGTGACAACCCAGCCTTTGCCTACTTCCCTCCAGTCTCAGAAGCAAAGTTCAACTGTATTTTCAAGAATATTCTTTAGAATTTTAGAATCCTAGAATTCAGTCTAGGAAGGACTCTGGGGGCCAGCCTCCAGGTTCATGGCAGCTGCCTGCTTAGATATCCCCAGTAGAAGAGCATCCATTCTCTGCATGTTCGTCCTCCCAAGTTCTGTGCATTCACTGGCTGGCAAGCTGATTGGCATCCATCATAGTCCATTAGGAGCCTCCGAACACAGGATTCAAAGGAAACTTTACAGGTTTCTGTTTATGATGCCGTTCTATACTTTCAACAGTAACTGAATTTGCAGTAGTAACAACAGGCTGTTTTTGTAACTTTCTTTTCTTAGGATACTTTGATTTAATTTGATTGTTGATAAGATGGTGGAAAATTTAGCAGACTGAGTTTTATTTTGCTGTCAGAAGACCAAGTGACTTCAGGGGAGAGTAGACAATTTTCCATTCCCATCATAATTTGATAATTTGCAGAACATTCAGTAGGACTTTGTCCGGTATATCTAGTATCCATCGGAACCAAGATTTTCATAGTCAGTTGCCTGTCAGGAAGTGCAGAGCTATTGCCCAACACGTTTTTCAACATCAACAATATTCTCAAATAAAATTAAGTAAAAACAGTTACTAAAAAGCAAGTGAAAGTTTATAGAAATCAGAGCACCACCAAAAATTAGTAAGATTATAGAACAGTCTTTATTGTATACGTTTTTAAAGTATACACACATTCTTTTAAGGCAGAACTGTTTTGGGTATTTCACCCCGGTGGTGTGAAATTGACATTTAAATTACTTCTTTCCATTTCAAAGGGCAAGGTGTCCTGGATTCCTATCTGAGGCACCTGGGAAGGCTTGGAGTTTCTTTTTTCTTGTATTACTAAGTAAGCAAGCCCAAGATGTCTTAGAGGTGCTACTCTTTTACTAGAATGGCCATTCAGTGGCTTAGATGTATCTTCCAAGAACTGATTTCCCTAGCAGATTGGAAGAAAATTCAGAGAAAGCCAGTGCTCGTTGCTGAATTTCAAAATATGTTATAGCTATGTCTAGTGCGCTATTTCCATGTGCTGCTGCTGTACCTTAACAGTGGGGAGGAGCTAGAGGGATAAGGAAGAGAAGAAGGAGTAAAGCATCCCCCTACTGGGTCTGTCACACTGAGTCATCATTCCCTTTGCTTTCTCTGAAGATCATTTCCCACGACTCCTGGAAAGAAAGGCTGATCTTGTCCACCAGGAAACTTTAACCGAAAACTAGGAGCTCTGCTTTCTCAGCCAATCTGCCTTTCAACTAGAATGGCCAATTAGTGATACTTAACCAGGTTGGAATGTCCAGGACACACTCACTTTCAGAGTTTTATGCCACTCTTCTTTACTGTAAAGAGAACTATTGTGTTGAATCTTGGGTCCATGTCTAGATACTCAAACTAGAGAAATCTTTCTGGCATATTCTTGCCATCCAAGCAAGACTTGAACCCAACTATAACTAGTCCCACATATAACAGGAGCTCCTAAACTCTGTCCCATAACCTTTATCCATGAGTTCTTTGGGAATAGAGAGAAAACAAGATGGTCATTTTGTGTCCCTTCCTCATTTGCCCCTGAATCATTCCACAAGACTGGGCTGCACTTTAAGTTAGTTGTTGCTGTTGTTTTATGCCTTGAAATGACTCTAAAAGCACTCTAGAAACAGGGTATTCTGAAGGCTTAATTCGTGTGCCATCTTTTTGAGGCCTCATATTTTAGAAATTATTAAACATGCACACACATGATTTCAACTTTGTAAAATAATTTCAAATTCATTCCCTTTCCGGGTTTTATTGCACAGTTTCCCTGTCATCTCAGTGTTTATAGAACTGGTTGAAATTAAATTGTTTTGAACTAAGAAGTAGATATATATATTTTTTTAAAGAGTGTTCATAGATGAACTCTGGCATAAGGTTTGTAAAAAGGCAATTTTTAAAAAATAAAACATATAACCTCAGGTGCAAAATACGCATGCATTAGTACTTGCAAATCTGCCTATTCAAATATTAACCAAAGCATGCAAGATAAACTTTACTGAATGTAAATTTACCCAGTGCATGATTAAGTCTCATAGGTTAGCTTACTTTTCCTTGCTTCTGAACAAGGAAGCGTTTTCATGAACTTTGTGTTAAAGTCATACTATTTGCTTTTAATATCTTATCCTCGAGATTGTTTGAATGCTATCACACTGAACTTTACAGATATTCACACGTCTGGCGTATGCAGTGTTGCAGCCAGTGCCAAATGAACCGACTGAGAAATCCAGGTACTTAGACATCTAAACAAGTTTTAAAAAAACAGTTGAGGTACAACAGATCCAAAACTCCAACAAAGTCCTTGTGTCTGAATGCTACTAAACAAAATTGTGTTGATTGCCTCTATTCAGTTTTGGGTTCTAAATTCTGAATAGTGCATTTCAAATATTTTCTAAAGTTCAGGAATAAGTTAGAAATACTGACATTCTAAAAAAGGTGGGGAGGTTGGGGTCATGTCAGGCACATGAAAACCATTCATAAGTCAAAGTGGACATGGGGACTTAATTTCCACAAATGTTACGTAGTGAGTGTGTGGGGTGTCACACCATTGTCCTCAACATGGCCCTATTTGTATGATGTCAGTGAGCTATGTCTAAAAACACTGAAATTCAGGGATGATGAGGTGATTTCATGGTCACTCAGAACCACCTTGGAAGTCCTCTCACTGCTTTTTTCAGTAACCCTTGCTTTATGAAAAAAATATGGGCAAGAAGACCAGAAATGGAGGGAGCAAAACTCAGTAAGACAAAGTTGGGGGGGGTCTTCTGTTAGTAACAGCTTTGTCACCATCCCATGTACCCCCAAACACAGACCTATAAGCTCAAAGACAGAAATCCTCAAACATGCAGCAAAGACTCTTGTGAGGAGGCATTAAAAAATTAAGAGGAAAAAGCCCAGAAAATTAAAGTGTGAGGTTTAACAAACTCTCATGTGGTAAAATAGCCTTGAATAAGGTTTCCACTACCAGCAACCTCTGCAGAAATCCCAAAATAATGCACTCTGGAGACAAGTGCCCCGATCCCAGAACTGTTTTCTCAGGACCTGCTCTACCAGAGAAAACCAACTTGCAATGAGCGGAG